TTCCAGAGATGTGGGGTTCATTTTTGCTTTCTGTGCTTTTTTTAATCTCTTCTTTTCTCTTATAATATTCCTCCTCTAACTTGTCTGATGTGATTCATTTCTTCAAGATCTTGTTTTATTTTTAAGTCATCAATTACTCAAACTTTGTGAGCTTATCTATCCTCAGCCATCTGGATTCCATACCTTATTTTAAAGCATGTTCCAATAATGACAACCTTCTTTTCTCAATTAATTTATGGGCTGCGGGGACCATTTTTCATTTGTTATCACGCACTTCCATTTGATCTCTCATATCTTTCTTCTGCATCTGCAACTATGGTGTATAAATCTTCCACCCCAGTTTTGTCATGGTGTCCAAGATATATAGGTATAACTTCCTATTAGTTCCACAAAACTGACCTTAATTTCTAAAAATGGTATCAGATGTGAATAAAGTTTGGTAAGATGATTTGTTTTGATTTACTTTGTACCACTTATCTTTGAATTTTCTTCCTAGTTTTCTTTTATCTAATTTAGACAGTAGAGTCTCCCAAGCTGGGTTACGGCTTATCCATTACCTCCCTGCCGACGCTGCTCCTCAGAGAGATAGGGCTGGGAGATTTTTGGCTGTGCATAGTAATAATGTGGACTCTGGGCATGCTGGAGGCTGGTTTGTGTTGTTTTCTATTGAATGCAAGCTGACCTGCGAGCTTCAATATCGTCTGTTTCAAAAATAGGAATATTTTCAAACAGCACGACTATATCAAGTTATTAGATATTGAATCTGAGACTTGCATAATAAAATTAGACATGCAGATCCAAGTATCTTTCTTCTGCTGCTGCTCAGTTGACAAATAGGAGTATGGAAAGACCCAAATCTCTCTCCGACCATTAGGGGAGGCTGGTTTTGGATTTCTGAGGGGCTGTGGCTTACAAAACAGAATCTGTGTGTGTGGGGTGTGTGTGTGTGTGTGTTTTGTTTTACATAAACAGACTTCCGTCCAAACTGGAGAATGCTAATTAAGCAAAAAACATGGCCAGATGTTTATTAACACATCTCAGGTTCATGGGATTTGGAGACTGTGCAGTTTTCATGAACTAATTTAAAAAGGGAAACACCTTTATTGGAATAATGGCCAATTATAACTGTGGACTTTGCCTATTCTTTTCTGTGCACGTGGAGGGGTGGGTGGGGGTCCTTCCCAGTTGAGAGATGAAGAGCCTGTCCACATCCTGGTGCATCTGGCTTCAGCCCACACCCCAGCTTTGGGTGTGGCCTTTCAGCCAGCCCGCCTCCCTTCACCACACACGCTGTGCTCCCTGGAGTCCAGAAACACACCCACGTAGACACATAAAATAAACCCTGGGCAGTTCGGTATGCAGAGTCAGTTGGTTTTGAGGTTTTGTCTTTGTTTCCTTTCATCGTGTTATGAGTTTACCTTGTGCCCAGCTGCGTGAGTACCTATCGGTATGGAGACTGTCGGAGAAGATGCTTTGCCAAGCAGTGCAAACAGTGGAGTATCTCTGGAATGCCAGCAAACCGTGAGACAGGAAGAGGGGCTGTCAGACCACAGCATGGTGACTTCACTCTGGGCCCCAGATTCAAACTGTGGAGTAATAAAACTGAATAGCACCATATAAAACTCCGCGTTTCATAAGACAAATATTGCTCTATGCATTCCTGTCCCTTGCACTATGTTAACTGTAGGAAGAAATGGAAACAGTTTTAGTGACCCCCTGGGACCTATAAAGGCTATTTCTGAGTCTGAATCTTGCTGTTTAATTTAATCATTTATTATATTAATATTCAAATGGGCTGCATCTTATTAGCTACTGCAAAGATGTTAGTATGTCTGAAATAAATACCTAATTATGCTTTTGAAGAGAGGGGTTCTAAAGACTTCGGTATGTCTGTGCTAATAGAACAGTTCATTTGCAGATTTTTCTGCAGAAATCAGCAGTTTGAGGCTTTTTTTTTCTCTCTCTCTCTTTTAAGAAAATAAAAACAAGGATTGAACATCCACTGAGAGGTTTCAATAGCAGGTCCTAGTTCCACCAGCTCCCAAAGAGCCCTGGAATTATGAGGTTTTGTTCTCTGCGCCCGAGTGAACGTCCACCCTGGAATGACCAGCACTTTCAGCTCAATAACACATTAATACAATTAACTGTTTTAATCAAATGACCATGAAATTAAATATGTTCCTGTTGGAAAAAAAAAACTGATATCCTCTTGGAAATATATTTTTTGAGTCCAACATGCTAATATATTTCTTAACATGACTGTTTCATTATTTTCCATTTGCATCTCATCTCATCTCTCTCTCTCTCTCTCAATTCCCAGTGCAAAATCAAAATCTTATGTAGGTCATTGATTTTTACATCCACAGACAATGGACACCGGCAACTTGCAGAAATCAGACCATGCAGTTTGGAGGGAGTGCACAAAACATAATGCCACATATACTCTGGGGTGGGAGGGGTGGGGGCCCAGGAACCTGCAACTCGGTCTACGTTGAGGCCAGAGCCTGGCAGGCTCCATACGGAGTCCATTTTCCTAATGCTGAGCATTAGCTTCATGAGGATGGATTATGCTGCTGCCGTAATATACACAAACGGTGATGATAAATTCTAAACTAAATGTATACACTGCAATTGGAGCAGTGGAGAAATTAGTGGTAAGTGCAGAAGTTACAGTCTGAGAAACTGGGAATTACACGTTACTATCTTTCTAAAGTAACTGCCACTGGATCCACGATCACTCTTATTTTTTATTTTCTAAGATGGCTAAAATGGTATGTCTACTAATACCCAATTATCTGCTTCACGCTTTTTTTTTTCAGATGAATGTCAGAGCCAAAGGTTAAAGTCCTAAGTGAGTGGACAAGACTGCTCCCATCGACAAGGAGGGTCTCAGTTCCCCCCGCCCCGTTGACCTCCATTTAACCTTTAAATTGACCTCGAACGAGTTTATTTTCCATCTCCTCTCCTGGATGGCAGTCCCGTGGGAGGGGACCCTTTTTTCCTGGGTGGATAATTACATTGTGGCTTTCAACTGCACAGCACTTGGTGTCAACCCTCGTACTGACACACCTCCTTCCTGGGCGCTGCCCACACAGCCTGTGTGCTGCCGCTACGCGAGCCACGCCATCCCCTTCCTTCCCTTCCTCAGACCTGTCCCTGCACACCTGCTGGGTATCACGTCCAGGTAAGCATTGTGGCACCTAAGGTCTCTGCCCTCAGAGAGCATTCTTTCCAGCCCATTTGTCCCAACTGTTGAATTTCATCAGGAGTTTGCCACAGCAGAGAAACAATGACTGCCGTGGGAGTACCAGGCACCACGATGGAGACTGTTATTGATGGAAGACAGCCTGGAGGAGGTGACAAGGGTCTCCTGTGCCAGCCTCTGTGCTTGGTGCCACACTAATTTGTCACCTCAAGTCCTCCTCACCGGGTGAGATGACGGGTTGTTTGGTTCTCTCTCTTCTCCACGGGACAGCTGGACTGAGGCTCGGATGGCAGGAAGAGAGGTACCCGAACAGGACAGGGAGTGGCCATTGTGGGAGGGCACACCCCTGGCCCCAGTCCCCGCACTCCTATCCTCTCCAGAGACCTAAAGGAAGCACGAGTCCTGTGTAAAAGAATTTACACCTGACTTACCCGGCCCAGGAATGCTGCCATGAAAGGCTGTGATACAAGACCATCTGAGCGCTCTGAGATACCACGTGGAGCCTGGGGCTGGAGACCCAAGGGGAAGTGGAAATTCACAAGTATTGGATGGTCTGGGCTGTTTCCCCAAACCTTAGGCCCAGAGGCGGAGCTCCTCCTGGGCATGAGCCTCTCAGGCTGTCTGTAGGACCATGCATCTCCTACAGAAGATTACTGGGCAAAGTCAGGTGGACAGAGGAACAGAGAAGACCCAGGAAGCTTAGAGGCCGAGGCTGCCAGGGGAGGAGGAGGAAAGTGAGGTTTCTGTTCCAGAGGGTTCTAGAGGGTTCCAGAGTGAACACACCGGGGTGTTTCTCCTTGTTCCTGGTGGAGTTAATGGTCTGGACTGTCTGGCTGGCAGAGGTGTCCACAGGGGCCTGTACCTCCTGACAATCTCCCTCTAGGGTGAGACAAGGAAGGCGCCCACCAGTCCAAGCATCTGGAACAGAATAAGAGGCTGAGCAGTCACCGAGGCACCCCATGGAGTTGAATAGCTCATTTTGTTCACGGGATTAACTGGTTGATCTCATGCTGGTTATGGTTGGAATTCCTCCTCACGCCAGCCTGCCTTGATTTCCCCATGTGAAGTAGCCCTCCTTGAACTCTTTGTTCCATCACACAGAGGCATCTTAAATGTCTTGTTCATTCATTTACTTGTTTATTTTCATCTTGCTCCCACCCCCCACCCTGAATTCAAGTCCTTCAAAGTAGAAACTAGGACTGTTACAGTGTTTCACAAAATGAAAATGCAGGCCCTCTTGTTCAAAAATTGTTATGAATTTCACGATGGTGACATTAGAGCATTAAACCAGGGAGAGGCCCTTCTAAGTGCAGGATTCTGACTGAGGACAAACGTAGCACAGATTGGTTGCCTCCTGGAAAGGACCTGTGCAGACCCAACTGGGGTACCGCCGTGCCCAGAACAGTGCCTAGCAGACAGCGAATGCTCGATACACTCTGAAGAATGGACGATGCAGCCTCTGCCACCCCACAGGGTGACAATCTTCTTTTCACCATTACCAGAAGAGACCAGGCATCTCTTGGTGTGACACAGGGTATATTCTACTAAGCATTAATTAATCAATTGAATGAATGAATGAACAAAGGAAATATTTGAAGCATGATGGGGGCTTAGAGGAGGGAGAGATTACTTTTTTATTTTTTATTTTTTTATTTTTATTTATTTTTTTTTTTGAGACGGAGTCTCGCTCTTGCTACCCAGGCTGGAGTGCAATGGCGCGATCTCGGCTCACCGCAACCTCCTACTCCTGGGCTCAGGCAATTCTCCTGCCTCAGCCTCCTGAGTAGCTGGGATGAGATTACTTTGATTGCACTAGAGGAGACAGGGCTGCAGGGAGAAAGGGGAGCTCTATTTTTAACAATTCATAGATTTAAATAGGGGAGAAGTGGGCATTCCAGCCAGAGGCAGTGAGTGTGGGGCTGCAGGGCCCCATCTGTGTTCCAGGAATGTGGGGTGCATACAGGAATGCAGTTGGAAATGCTCTGGTGTTGGAGGCTGCCCTCTTTTCCTCTCCAGCTTGAGCTGAGACTTCCCTTGGAGATCTTCCCCACAGCAGTCGAACAGCCAGGTAAGTCCGTGGGTGGGACCAGGGTTGGTAGATTCCCAGCCAGCTCCAAAGCAGGGCTTCAGATACCAGAGGGAATGAGGTTAGGATCTGGCAAAGAGAAACTGATCATCCTAGGCTCAAAGACGTCCTCGTTTTCTCTGAGAGTGAGGTGTCCTAGAGGGCCAGCTAAGTGTGACTGGCCAATACCTGGTCGCTGTGGCTGTCATTCATTCATTCATTACTCATGGAGGTGGGTGGATGATGACAAAGCCTGTACTATGTGCAAGATATTTTAAGGGTTTCCAAAAAAGTTAAAACAATGATATTGCAACTGAGGAAGCCACAGTCCACGAAGATGAGTGTTACAAAGACAGCAAGACGCAAGCAGCACTAGACAAAGCTGCCGAGGTTGGGCTGTGGTGGTGGAAAGGAGTGAGGCCCTGAAGGCTGCCATCAGGGAAAGCCTCCGGTTTGCTGGAAAGGCTTCCTGAACATCTCCAAGTTCAAGTCCATCTCCATGGCCTCAGAGGCTGCTCCAGGGGCCTGGCTCTCCGGACCACTGTTCTGTTGGGGGTCCCCCATACTCAGTTTCCAAATGCGTCCTTCCAGCAAGAAGAGTGACTCTCCTCTCCCCAGGATGATCCCGCCCACCGGAAGCACTACCACTGGGGAATATTAGGCACTGGCAGAAGAAGCAAACCGCGGGGGCAGAGGCTAGGGGGGCGGTGGGGGCATTAGAATAAGCAGCCCCCAGAAATTAGCTCCGATTTCTATTGGGTTTTACAGCCACATTCTTTATGTTCAGGTTCATTATTACAGCCTGTCTTTTATTTTTTTCTTCTTTTGCTTTCCTCCCTTCTCCTCAAGACCAGATTAGATTCTCATCAAAAGTCTAGGGGGTTGGGGAGAGCATTTATGGAGATCAGTCTGTGTTTCGGGCATCAGCGGTTAACTGGGTAATATACACTTCTATTACCCACCTTGCAGTCCTCGGAGGATCAATGCGAGGGGTTTAACGACCACACAACAGAAAAACATATATTCCTGCTGCCTTGGAGCAGCCATCGGGAGCCTGTGTATATGTTTCCCTCATTATTTGGATGTGCCGTTTGAATGTTGTGATCAGTGATTCAGTGCACATGATTCATCAGGAAGGCATTTGCTCGGCAGACATGTGAGGAGCTGTCTGCCTCTTCAATCTCACTGACAGGGCAAAAATGCTGATTTATAGTAAATCATTAAAATCTGCTTATTATGGCACGGCTTGTTCCTCTTCCCCACTTCAAGCCCGCAACTTGATCTGCATCGTGTCTCTTACAATTTTATACTACAGCAAGCAGTTATTTAAACAAGAAGGGAAGGCTCCTTAGTCTTTATTAGTGCATATGAAAGGATATTTTGTTTAAAGAAGACTAATTAAGAATGCAGACGATTTTCTTGCTCCATGTAGGGGGGAAAATATAAAGATTTAAAATGTCGAAGCAGAACAAAGAATTACTGTACTAAAACAATACTTAAGAATGATGATTTGGTACCTATTTTAAATAGCCATAAAATATCAGTTCACATGCTGCCAAAATTATTGGGGAGGCAGGGGCTTGGGGGCTGGTCGCCTTGAGTTTGGGTTGGAGGGAGGCCATGAAGACCTTTAATAGAAATGAATACCAGCCAGAGAATAATGCTATTATTGTGTTGAACTCCAATATTGTGACAAGGGTTACCTTGCTTTAAAAATTGTGGGGAAAGTTTTGTTCTTTAAAGGGAAAAGATTTAAGATTTGATGGGAACATAATATGAGAATCTGTTACATGCCAGGTAAACAAAGAAATAACACAAAGAGGTCTATATTTTGTATGTGTTACTTACAGTAAAAAAAAAAAATTTAATTTGATGCCTGGGGACAAAAATCCTTGCCACTGAATTACAAAGAAGTGAACAAACTGACTCAAAATTAATCCATACAGATCTGTCCCCTTAATAAGACTAATTCCGGAGAACAAAGCAGAGCATAATGCATTTTAAATTAAGTTGGAAAATGCATAATTTATATTTGTTTTATTTCTTCATATTTTACCACAGGTGCATTCCAGAATGCTAAGAACCAAAGGAGAAGGGCATGCTTCTGACCATGGTTTTTTACTTTTGAAAACTGAAGGATCTAAGATTTCTCCTCTTGTTCAGGAAGTGAGAGCAGAATCAGACAGAAAAGATGAATACAGTGAGAAAAAATAAAGTATGTTTGGTTAAAATTAATTTTTAGGGCTTCTAATTTCTGATGTGACATTCAGCAACAGTTAAGACAACACACACATACCACATTCATCTGGATGAAAATCATGTTTTCCTTTTGTCTCAAGTGGTAGTTTTAGGAGAAGCTGGGTGGTGTAGAAGAGCCCCCCTGGAGAGACCGCGGTGGCTCCATGGATGAGTAGAGGACCCTCATCCTGCCCACCCAGCCCAAGCAGGGCTGACGGGCAGAGGAAGATGGCCTGGAGCACAGTAGGGGGATGGTCTTATTTCCTTGTTGCCTTTTGGCTACATCGAAAACAGCCTTCTTCTCTCCCAAACCAGAGCCCCCTCCTTCACTCCCCTTTCTTTTCAAGTCTCTAACCTCATGCCTAACCTATCTCAGCTTGGTTCCCTCCTGTCATTTCTGTGACGTGCAGAATTTATCCAGCTTAGCTTAACTCATTGGTTCATTTCAGCTTAACTCGTTTTAAATGATGTGTTTCTGTTTTGTTTTTTTTGAAAATCACAAACTAGACACAGCCCAGCTATGACTATTAGAATCAAATTGAATGCCTCAAAATAATTCTTTAACATAAATTGCTCTTTGGAGAGACCTGTGCTAATGATTACATGGTAAGGAAAATTTCCAGGAAAATAGCACCGGTATCTACTTAGCTACGGAGCACCTAAGAGGGAAGAGACACTGAGCCAAGAGGTCTGTAGCTGTTATCATCTGCCTGTAACCAAGTCCTGCAAACCAGGGCAGAGTGGGAGAGGAGGGGACTGAGCAAGTTACCGACAGCCTCCGAGCCCCAGCGTAGAATCCGACTCAGGTCTGTCTGAGCCCATATTGGCAACCATCAATCATTATGAACTCCAAAACCTGGACAGAAACCAAGTCCACTCCCCAAGCTCACGTGCGGTCTGATGGTCTATAACCACCCAGTATTTCCTAGCTCTGAGGATTGTAGGACTGACACATTCTCTGTAAAGCAGAACTGATGTTGTCACAGGACATAGACCACTAACTTGCCAATAACCCTTTGGATGGTGAAACCATCACACTGATTTTTCATGATTCTGGCTTTTGGGGCTTAGTTCAGAGTTTTTTTCCTCCATGGAGTAGATCAGTACTTCACTCATTTGCATCCAGAGAAGAAGATACTGTTTAAGGCACTGACTTCCATCCTGCGAAGACTACGTGCCTTGCTTTTGGAAGGTTGAATGGGATGCTACTTAAAATAGAATATTCCAGCTGGTTAGGTTTGGAGTTCAGATATACAAAAGTCAGTGATATACTAGGTGCATTTTTATTCTTGCCAAACTTGATACTTGATAGATTTGTTTGGATAAAGTCCTGATTTTCTTTCCAACTTTTGTGTGTGTGTGTGTGTGCAGATACCAGTTTGATTGTTGCTGGATGAAGCCGGCCTGGTGCCTTCTGGGCTTGCTAAGTCACCTTGTCATCACAGAGCCACCCTTTCCACCTTGTGTCAGTGGCATCACACATTTATTCAGCTTACAGTCTTGCCTCTCTGTCCTCCCCATCACTTCTTCCCTCACTCCATTGCCTCTTCAGTAAAGTTAATTGTACGAGAGACTCAGGGAGGCGGGGCATCCTCAACTAGGGAAGAGATAAATTCTTCCAGAGATAATGAGCACACACTGGGATCTAGCCTTTCTTAAGAGTTTAGTAGTTCATTTTCTGCTGTGGTTGAATTTTGGCTGCTTTTGCTTGTAGCTTCGTGATTCCTCTCTTGCCCGATCTTCCCATGTCTTGGTGACAAGCTCCTTCTAGCCTGAGTCAGTGTGGGGAACAAGTAGAGGATGGACTCAGCGTCTTCTGCAAGATGTGAGGATTGCAACATTCCCATTTGCACACGAACCACTGCTGTCGCCAGAGCCACAGATGGACGTGCAGGTCACAGCCCGGCCCACTGTATGGCTTTGCCTGAACCTAATGCTCACTCTCTATTCCCATCCTGGCAGGCCCCCTGACCTCTGGAGAAGGCTGCTGGCATTGCATTGACCCAATTTCACTAAGACATCAAACAACAAAAGAAGGAACCAAGACGTGGGTGTCATTATTGCAGTTCCCATATAGTTACAACTCCAGTGGCACTACGTCTTTCATGACTGTCTGTCTTGTCCACTTTCTGAGCCCTTCCTCTGCCCTATGCCAGGTGCCCAGTGCCCTCAGCTTCCTGCCTCAGGTCAGAGAGAGACATCTGATGGTAGACCCATCCACACGCTTTGATTGCAATTGCCCCTTCCTGGGATCTTTGCACTCAGAAAGGTGATGTTGAGAAAGGGCTGGAATGAAACGGTGGAAAGAAACCCTGTGGAAGAATTTAATCTAGCATGGTAGCCATGGAAAGATGAATATTTGTGACTACAAACACTATTAAGAAATATTATGGAATGGACAGGTTACTCCAAAGAGAGACAAACTAAAGCCATTTCCAGTTGTGTGGTGAGTAGGTGTGTTATTCCATTTTCACGCTATTGATAAAGACATACCTGAGACTGCGTAGTTTATAAAGAAAGAGAAGTTTAATGGGTTCACAGTTCCACTTGGTATGGCGGTTTCACAATCATGGCGAAAGGTGGAAGCCATGTCTTACTTACATGGTGGCAGGGAAGAGCAGGGTAGGAACCAAGTGAAAGGGGAAACCCCTTATAAAACGATGAGCTCTCATGAGACTTAATGACTACCATGAAAACAGTATGGGGGAAACTGCCCCATGATTCAATTATCTCCTACCAAGTCCCTCCCACAACACGTGGGAATTATGGGAGCTACAATTCAATATGAGATTTGGGTGGGGACAAGGCCAAACCGTATCGATGGGTTAAGTGAAACCAAACATCTTTTTTTATATCCTTGAGACTCATTTTCCATATTTAAAATAGAGATGAAGAAATGTTATTGTTTTGTAAACATTCTGGTTCACTGTTGTTTTTATTTCCATCATTTGAAAACTCTTCCCCCTCCCCATGATCCCACCTCCCTCCTTTAGCTACAGTGTCTCTGTGACAGAAATATTTCTAAGGTGGCAGGAATCAGGCACAACTCCCAAGCTGCTGTGTTATCTTGAATGTCCCTCATGTATTCCATGTGTCCCAATTGGGATGACAATTCTGAGAGAGTTTTCCCAAGTATCCCCTTATTATACACGGGCCTCAGTGGCTATCATAATTAGGATTTGCCCAAAGCAGACCTCAGACAAGGATCTGGGTTCCTGTAGCTCATTTGGAGTACGTTCCCAATAAGCTGATGAGAGAGAGGGGAGACAGGGAAGACAGAAAGTCAATAAAGTGAGTGTTAAACAGGGGTTACCTTCCTGCAAACTGGAAATGACCCCTTGGGTTCGTGTTGAGAGGTACAGCAACACAGAGCTTGTTAGAAATGCAAATCTTTAAAATAATTCTTTTCTAGATACATAATATTTTACATGTTTATGGGATACATGTATTTGTTACATGCACGTAATGTGTAATGATCAAGTCATGATTTTTGGGGTATCCATCACGTTGAATATCTTTGTGTTGGGAACATAAGTCCTCTCCTCTGGCTATGATGAATATACAATATATTTAAATATATATATTGTATATTGAAATATACAACATTTAAATATATATTGTATATTGAAATACACAATATTTAAATATATTATATATTTCAACATAGCCAGAGGAGAGGACTTGAAATGTCTAGAGGACTTGCAAATACTAGGCTATCGCCCTAGACTAGCATTGATAATTAGCACTTTTTCCTTCTATCCAACTATGTGTTAGTATCCATTCACCAACATCTCTTCATTTTCTCCTCCCACACTCACACGCTTCTAGGCTCTGGTATCTATCATTTTATTCTCTATCTCCATGAGATAAATCTGAGTGAGAGCATGTGGTATTTATCTTTCTGTACCTGGTTTATTTCACTTAATGTAATGACCTCCAGTTCCATCCATGTTGCAGCAAATAACAAGATTCCATTCTTTTATTTTTATTTCTTTGGCTGAAAGGTATTCTATTGTGTATATATACCGAATGTTCTTTGTCCATTGATCCATTGATGGACTCTTAGGTTGATTTGATGTCTTTGCTCTTGTGAATAGTGCTTGGATAAACATGTGAGTGCAGGTATCTCTCTGATGCACAGATTTCTTTGCCTCTGGATAAATACCCAGTAGTGGGATTGCTGGATCGAATGGCAGATCTATTTTTAGTTTTTTGAGAAATCTTCATACTGTTTTCCATAGTGGCTGTACTAATTTGCATTCCCGCCAACAGTGTATAAGAGTTCTCTTTTCTTTACATTCTCACCAGCATCTGTTATTTTTTGTCTTTTTAATAGTCATTCTCACTAGGGTGAGATGTTATTTCACTGTGGTTTTGATGTGCATAGAAATGCGAATCTTACTTCCCTCCTGACCAGGTCTAATAACTCAGAGTCTCTGGATTAGGCCTGGGAATCTGAGTTTTAACAATCTCTCCAGGGGAAAAGGTTGGGCTCAGCTTTAAGGAACAATGGCATGGAATGCCCACAGATGAGCTCCCCGAGGGGCCAGGAAATGGGTATTTATCTAGCAGTGTCCCCCTCTCAATGACTGAGGGTTGTTTCTGAGGGGTTACCTCCCAGAACATTTTGTCTCTTCTGTGCAGGTGCCAGGCAGTGCCCAAACCAGAGAATGTCTCAGGCAGAGAGATGCAGAAAACCACAGGTCTGAATGGCAACCACGTGTGAGCAACTTCTGGGTGGGCCAGGGAGTATTGGTGGGGCAATGACAGGGTCTGCTTCAAATCCCTTCATCTAGGTTATGACAATTTCCAAGTTTAGATCTCTCCTCAATTCCAAATTTGGATACGTTCAACTGGAAGTCTCATCAACACACCCAAAACTACAGTCATTATCTCTATACCCTCAAAAATTCCTTGCTCCTCATACAAAGTTCCTCCTTGCTCCTCATACATGGAACCACCCATCGCTCCATCCCT